CTAGCTGCAATGATGAATATGTAACTAGAATAACCTTTCAGTTTGTTAATTCAAGAGGTTGATATGGTATCCTGAATTTAATATTTATGCTCCATCTACTCGATGGAGTTTACCAACTGGAACACCATGAATGGTAGGACACAGAAGGTTAAAACAGAGTCTTACTGAAGAAAGCAAGAGAGTAAATAATGTCAGGCCCAAGAAATGAGCAGATTATAATACATGGGAGAAAGTGTATTTCTAAAGTTTCTCAAAGTGAAGGTTCCAGAGGAAACAATGTATTGGATAATGCTATTTTTTTTGACAGCCCAATGGCCACACACAAATTGATGGACATGAAATATTTCCCTAAGCAAAATTGGCTATCCTGGCAGTTGGAACAAAAAGGAGCAGGCAGAAATTTATTGTGTATAAGTGACATTAAGTCAACCTAGAGCCAATTTTTTGCATTATGTTTATAGGACCAAGGCAGAAATTCTGTTTACTAGAGTGATTTTTATTTCTCCTCCCAATAAGAGGTAGAAGGGAGACTCTAGTAATGAAAGCACTTTGAGTTGGGGGGATGGAAAGAAGGGAATTTAAGTGAATGTGACGCGAGTGTGGTCACCATGAGAGAAATGACCAAGCTATGGTGATAACAGGTGACTAACTGTGAAGGCAGGTCTGGGTATTGTTTCTTTGTGCTGAAAGATATAAGCCTGAGTGTCAGTTAGAATATGAGGTCTGAGAATCGTGTGCGTGTGTATATGCATGTGTGTGCATACACATTAATAAGAGGATAAAGAAGACAGAGGAGGACAGATTTATGAATATCATTGTTTAATTATTCAAAGTTTCAAGTTCAGGAACTCCTGGGATTTTGATGTTCAGGGCCAGGACTTTCAGGCACTGAGATGGGTTGTTAAATTGACTTTCCATACCTTGATCCTGGTTTTCTTCTATTAAACAGAGACTTCTTTTGAGCATTTTATCGTCTGAAATCCAGATGATATAAAGAAGAGTAAGCAAAGTGGAGTGAGCAGACAGGAACACATTTTTCTGGGAAGTGAGGAAAAGGGTAGGAGTGGAGTCAACAGTGAGAACATCTTGATTTTGAATCAGCAGGGTCCTCAAGTAGGCATTCTTCAGTCCCCCCCCCCTCCACGTAATGGGATTGAGGACATGGGCATGGGGGAGTTGACACAGTTGGCCTTGAGTCTCTTGGCGATGAAAGTTAGATGTGAGGGTCAAGGTGAGGAAACATAGTGTTCACTGTCATAGTTACCAACAGATATTACCCGCTGGACCTTGTCTTTACGGCACTAACAGTGGGACTTTTCCCAAATACTTTAACTCACTGTATGTTTATATGTGTACATTTTGGCTGAGTTGCCCCAGAATTTGCTTTTTAAGGGAGAGGATCTATAGTACCTCACATACCTCGAACAGTTATTCTTTCCCTTTCCTGTGCTTTCCTGTCAGTCGTGGAGGTCTATGACGGTTAATTTTATGTGTCAGCATGACTCAGCTAAGGGATGCCCAGATAGCCAGTAAAACATCATTTCTGGGTGAGTCTGTGAGGGTGTTTCCTGGAAGTTATTAGGATGTCAATTGGCAGAAGGAGCAAAGAAGATGCCCTCACCAGTGCAAGTGGCATCATCTTGTCCACTGAGGACCTAAATATTGAGTTGACCAGAAGTGTTCATTTAGGTTTTCCCATGAGAAAAACCTGAACAAGCTTTTTTGGCCAACCCAATAGAACAAAAAGATGGAGGAAGGGCAAATTTACCCTCTCTGCTTGAGTTGGGGCATATATTCTCCTGCTTTTGGACACCAGTGCTCCTGGTTGTCAGGCCTCCAAGTTTGGACTGGAAATATGCTTCCAGCTTTCCTGGGACTCTGACTTGCAGATAGCTGTCTAAGCTCTGTCCTCCATAATCACTGAGCCAATTTCTCAGAGTAAATCTCCTTTCAGATATCTCTATGTATCCTCTTGGTTCTGTTTTTCTGAAGATCCCGAATACAAAGTCATTTAAAAAACATTTCAGCTTTTTTTTTTTTTATGGGAAACAATTGTGTGTGTGTGTGTCTGGGAAATGCCACAACACAAAATGTAAAATTAACTAAATGAACATTTCCAGGAACACAGTATTATTTTATCGCCCCAATAATATTGTCTTTATTATATGCTGGAGATAAATCAGTGACCAAGACAGGCAAGGCTTCTGCCCTCATGGAGGTTACATTCTTAGGAAATCTTTGGCTGTCATAAGGGCCAAGACTAGAAATGCGGATGAGAGGATGTTTCTATAGAGAGCAGCATTAATAGGTTTAGTACACACTTAGGGCCAGCTGATAGAGCTTGAATAATTACAAGGAGGAAAAGATGATTTCAGATAGGAGAGCTTTGTGAACAAAAGCACAAGCGCAGGGTATAATGAGGAGTGAGCTTATTTGTCTGGTGTCTGGGACTTGTATATAGGAATAGTGAGAGACAACATTTAAGAAGTAGATATTGATAGAACAGTGAAGTGACATGATAAGATTGGTGTTAGCACAGTTGATATGGAAATCAAATCAGGGAGTAGGATGCTGAAAAAGACCGGACAGACTGAAGGTGTTACCAGTGGGAATGCAAAGTTAGTGAAACATACAAAACATTTGAAAGGAAGACTCAATAGGCTTTGGACTAGTGTACATGAAGCCAGAGGGGGGAGAGGAATCAAAGATCATTCTATCATGTCAGACCTCAGTTGTAAGATAACGAGGTGACATTAGAACACATGGAGAAGTCCAGATGGAAGATAGTTTGGGAGGGTCGTTGATGAGGTATAATTTAGATATACACAGTTATGGAATTTGAAAATAGAAGAATTTAAATTTATTTCAGCTTCATTCTCTCACCTGCAGTTTTCCTTACCATTTTCACATATACAGAGAAGTTGAAAGACTAATACAATTAACACCTATATATCCCATACATCTAGATCCCAGATCCAACAACTTCCATTTTGCCTTATTAGCTTTATATCCATCCATCTACCTACCTACCTATGTTTTCGAGTCAACTATTTGAAAATGACTTGAAGGAGAAATAAAAATTCATTCCTAAATACTTCAGCATGCATTTTCTAAGAACATAAACTTCAGCTTTGAAGGAGATTAAGACCTAGGGTGTTTCACTTAGTGGTAAAAGCTGTATCAGAGCATCAGTTATCTGACAGTCAAATCTACTACTCTTTTCTCCTACTATATAGCTTCTATGTTTAAATAAGGTGTTTATTTGTTTGGAGTGTTTGGGCATATAGACTAGATTTAGGCAAGTAAGAAACAATATTAGAGAGTATAAAAGAGATCAAGTAAAATTTTATAGATAGAAGACTTTGAGAGCTTAAAAAGGGGAAGATGAATGATAAGAACAATGGAGCAGAGATTTATCTTCACGGGAGAAATTTAATGGTTATATCCAGTGGTCCTTGGTGACATCTGACCATGTGGGTCGTACAGTCTAGGGAACTGGGAAGGTAGGCCAAGACTATGTTCTGAGGTAGGCTTTATGGACTACCTCCTTTGTTTTTTTTATTATAACCACATTTCCCACTGCAGAAAGCAGTATTTTAGATTGATATGTATCTGTACCTAGTGGTGATATTATTTTAGTATAATATGTGTTTGTACATGTGTGTATTCTTTTTCAGATTATTTTCCATTCTAGGTTATCACAAAATATTAAATACAGTTCCCTGTGCTATCAGTAGGTCCTTCTTGGTTATCTGTTTTATATATAGTAGTGTGTATCTGTTAATCCCAAATTCCTAATTTATCCCTCTCCCCCTCTTTCTCCTTTGGTAATCATGCATTTGTTTTCTGTGTCTGTGAGTCTATTTCTGTTTTGTAAATAAGTTCACTTCTATAATTTTTTAGATTATAATTATATTAGATTAGCCATATGATATTTGGCTTTCTCTGATGTTTCAGTTAGTATGACAATCTCTAGGTCCATCCACATTGCTGCTAATGGCAGTATTTCTTTCTTTTTTATGGCTGGGTAATATTCCATTATATATATGTACCACATCTTCTTTATCCATTCATCTGTAGATGGACAGTTTGATTGCTTCCATGTCTTGCCTATTATAAACAGTGCTGCAATGAACACTGGAGTGCATGTATCTTTTCAAAGTAGCGTTTTTGTCTTTTCCAGATACATGCCCAGGAGTGGGATTGCTAGGTCATATGATAACTCTATTTTTAGTTTTTTAAGGAACATCCATACTGTTCTCCATAGTGGCTACACAAGTTTAAATTCCCACTTAACACTGCATGAGGGATTCCTTTTCCACACCCTTTTCAGGATTTATTTGTAGACTTTTTGATGATGAACATTCTGACTGGTTATGAGGTGATACCTCATTGTAGTTTTGATTTGCACTTCTCTAATAATTAGTGATATTGAACATCTTTTCATGTGACTGCTGGCCATCTATATGTCTTCTTTGGAGAAATATCTACTATTTAGGTCTTCTGCCAGTTTTTTATTGTTTTTTTAACATTGATATTGAGCTATACAATTTGCATATTTTGGAAGTTAATCCCTTGACAGGATTAATCATAGCAAATGTTTTCTCCCTGTCCATAGGTTGTCTTTTCATTTTCTTTATGATTTCCTTTGCTGTGCAAAAGCTTGTAAGTTTAATTAGGTCACATCTGTTTATTCTTGCATTTATTTCCATTAACTCTCAGACAGGGACAAAAAAATATTGCTGCAATTTATATTAAAGAGTGTTCTGCTTATGTTTACCTGTAGGAATTTTACAGTATTTGGTCTTACATTTAAGTTTTTAAGCCATTTTGAGTTTATTTTTGTATATGGTATTAGAGAATGTTCTAATTTCATTCTTTTTTTTCTTTTTAAGTTTCAGACTATTTATTCATCAGTGTAAACCCCAATACAATACACCAACATGATTCCGTGCATTTAGAGGGGAAATATTTCCTGGTTAAGTGGAAAATGTGTGGATGGCTTCTGGAAGACCTTCATTCTGAGCAGCTTTAAGTGAAATATTTCATTTAGAAGTCTGGACCTTCTTTCTTCAGTTTGCTGTAATCTACGTTCACAGAGTAGAACTTGTACTGATCATTAGGACCTAGTTTGTTCCAGGGTTCTGGGTTATTCTTTCTGTCCCAACTGACATCGAGATTGAACAATGCCAGGCGTGTGACATACAGTGCTGCTCCAGTCCCTCCTGCTCCAATAAATATGAAGAGGGGGATCAAGCTAGGGTGCTTCTTGGCCTGACCGATGATCTGGCGGAGCATGGTTGGGACAGAGGCCTCAAGCCCAAACCGAGAGAAAAACTAAGCCGCAAGGCCGGAGATTAAGCACTCACCCCTAATTTCATTCTTTTACATGTAGATGTCTAGTTTTCTCAGCACCACTTATTGAAGACAGTCTTTTCTCCATTATATATTCTTGTCTGCTTTGTCATAGATTAATTGACCATATTGATCTATGTGTCTGTATTTGTGCTGATATCATGCTGTTTTGATTACTGTAGCTTTGTAGTATAGTCTGAAGCCAGGGATCATGATTTCCTCCAGCTCTGTTGTTCTTTCTTAAGATTGTTTTGGTTATTTGAGGTCTTTTGTGGTTCCATACAAATTTAAAAATAATTTCTTCTCTTTCTGTGAAAAATGCCATTGGCAACTTGATAGGGATTGCATTGAATCTGTAAATTGCCTTCTGTAGTATAAGAGTGAACTTGTGACCTCTCAATGGGTTATAGTTGTGCTTTTAAAGTCCTGATGAACTTGAGAGAGCTGTTGGGAGAATAAATTTTGCTGTGAAGAATAATTGAAGCTCTTAGTTATTCTATTAATAACTAAGAGTCACAGGAGAACTTGACTTTTGGGGAATGGGCTTCCAGAGACTGATATATGATTTATATGCTTAAAATAGTGGAAAATATCCATAAAGTATTCAAAGTTGTGGGACGAGCTGCTTTAGTTGAAACATTTTAGTGTATTTGCCTTTGTAATTGGTTTCACATTTTTTCCTTGGTGTTCATTCTATACAGGCTAGGTGCTGACAGAGCTAAAATTTGAATCATATAGAGAGTACCCTGCAAAAGTTTACAGTCTAAGTTATGAATGCCCCCCAAATTCATGTCCACTCTGAACCTCAGAATAAGACCTCATTTGGAAATAGGTATTTGTTTGTTTGTTTGTTTTTAACTGTGCTACAATGGCTTGTGGAATCTCAGTTTCCCAACCAGGGATTAAACCCAAACCACTGCATGGAAAGCCCAGAATTCTAACACCTTGGCCACCAGGGAGCTTCTGGAAATAAGGTCTTTATAGATGGAATTATTTAGATTAAGTCTTACTGGATTGGGATGGGACCTCATTGAAGGTCACTGATATCCTTATTAGAAGAGAAGAGGACACACAGATTCACAGGGATGTAGAGGATAATGCCATGTGAAAACAGAAGCAGAGAGTGGAGTCCTGTGTCTACCAGCCAGGGAGCATCAAGGATAGCTGATAATCACCAGAAGTTAGGAAGATGCATGGCACACTTTCTTCCTCAGAATTTCCAGAAGGAACCTCCCTGCCCACACCTTGATTTCAGACTTGTAGCCTCCACAGCTGTGAGCATACATTTCTGTAGCTTGAAACCACCCAGTTTGTGGTTACTTCTAATGGCAGCCTTACCCAAGAAACCAGTACAGATTCTAAATCAAAAGATTCATAACATTCAGACCTTTTTTGTTGTTATTGTTAATTTTTTATTAAAAGTGGTGTGCAATAGAATTTGAATTACCACACTAAGAAAGTACATGTGGTCTAAAGCCAAATGAAATTCTAATCCTGAGTATATACTGACTCTGAAAATGATGCTTATAGAGATCAATTTCCCATTTGATTTAGTTATCAGGAAGAGTTATTGAGCAAAAATGTGACATGTTTTTAAAATGAAGTGCTAATTAAAAAAAGAAGCAAAGTCTTTTTAAACAAGAACAAAAATTTTTTCCCAAGAATCATTTTCACTTATTATTTTAAGATGTTTTTTAGTGGGAATTTTCTACCATCTTATTATTTTGTCTTTTTCTGTCAAGGTCAGATCAGGTGTTGCCTTCTTATGAAGACAATATAAATACCATATTTGGAGTATTGTAAAATGTAGTTTTATAAAAACAGACTTGTAGAAATGATCATGTGGCAGGATAATAAGTTAATTTAGGGGAAAACTAGTATTTACAAATAAATAGTAGTCTCTATTTATTAAGCTCAGTTTTCCTCATCTATATGAGGGCTGTGTCACTGTGACATTAGAGCTTCTTGGTCACACTAAAATGAAAGCAGCATTGACATAGTTAATTGAGTCGTTAATGAAATAGGAACTTAAGTTTTCACCTCACCTCATATCTGCCTTCAATTTTACACTTTTCACCTCTTGTTCAGAGAATTCTAGCACTTAGAATTCCCCATGTGATTCTGACTTTGGAATGGTATTCCCAGTACCATCACAACTCACCTTTGATAAACCTTTCCTCTCTGGCACCTTGTGTCTGCTCAACACTGCAGCAATCTTGGGTAGGCTTTTGGCTCAAGTCTGTTGGCTCTAGGTTGATGATTTAATCAAAGATGTTGCTGAGTGCTGGCCTTAGTTCAGAAATCCTGCCTGAGCCTTCACATCTATGCTGCCTGTACGTTTTGTCTCTATGTTCGAGAGGACTGACATTGTTTGGTTTTGTGCCAACCTTGATGTATAACTGGGTCCCTTCCCTGCCTTCCACAATAAAGTCAATCACAACAAGCATAGCTTAATGATTGGAGGCTCATGAAGTCGTGTCATGTTGTACACACAAGCATTTACTTTGAAAAGAAACCATCATGCCTTAGCTCCAAAGTTTCCAGCCCCTACTGCACACCAAGATTTCTTTCTTTCTGCCCTTCTTGAGAACAGTCTTTCTGGGTCCTTTACTGTCTTACTGAGATTCATCCCTTGACCTTATCCTCTGTCTCTTTTCCCTTGAATCTTCATATGCCTTTTCCTCTTTATCATGGAGAGAGTAGTTCAGTCCAAGCTTTTACTTCTAAATGTGCCCGTGGCCAACAAGCAAGCAAAGAACCTTCTAGATAAAAGACTTACTGCTCTTTATTTATGACAAATACTTTTTTTCCTTTCAAGTTATGATCCATAGGCTCTGATCACTTTCAAAAAACAACCCCCACCACAACAAATTCACTGAAAGAAACCACAGTGTATTAGCTTCTATGCAAAGTGTTTGTTCTACTTTGGCAATATACAGTGTGGGTTTTAAAATGTAGAGTGTCCTGACATATTAATTTGAACTAACCATCATTTATATTGCCAGTCTACTAAAGGAGGATAAATTTAGTAGGATGTGACCCAAGGATATTCAAAATCAATTCATCTTTCCAAATTCTTCCTGCTAATTATTCTTAAATTAGTCTTTGATAATCTAATAGACAAAAAATTCTAGATCACTGACTTCTTTTTCAACAATATAGCATTTTGGCTTTTGTAAGAATTTGATTTCATTTTTTAAAATTTATTTTTAATTGAAGGATAATTGCTTTACAATATTGTGTTGGTTTCTGCCATCACAATGAATCAACATGAATACATATATCAACATGAATCAGCCATAGGTATATATATATGTTTGCTCCCTCTTGAACTTCCCTTCTCCCTCCTACCCCATCCCACCCCTCTCAGTTGGCACAGAGCCCTGGTTTGAGTTCTTTTTTCCTGTGTCAGACAGCAAATTCCCACTGGCTATCTACTTTACATATGGTAGTGCATATGTTTCCGTGCTACTCTCTCCATTTGTCCCACCCTCTTCTCCCCACCCCACCCCCATGTCCATAAGTCTGTTCTCTATGGCTTCTGAATAGCAAATAGTACTATGGTCCTTCATGCAACAAGGCAGTATTTCTTGTTAAGATGGTCATTGACGGTTACCATCTGCAAATATATGTGCCTTAAAAGCACTGATTAATCTTAGTTATTGCCTTTTTCCTGGGGTACCAATTCTACTTAAAGGTTTGCTTTGTGAACTGAGATGATATTTATTGGTTTTATAGGTTGACCACACCACACTTACTGATATAAAGTGTCTGCTGTTTCTGTGCACACGGCTAACTTTGCTGCTTGGTGTAACCACATGGCTTCACTCCAGAGCTGCCTATGTTATGCTCTGGAAATGTCTCTTTTGCCTGCTGTGGATGATATTAACTCAGCCAGAGAACAGTAAAAGGGTTAGAAGGGAACTGTAAGGGATTACAATAATAATTCATTTTTCTCATGGGCTTGCTGAGCTGAATGGACTTCACATTGCTAGAGTTTTAATAACAAGGTCTGATTATGGTCAAAGATTTAAAGCAGGGAATCTTCTTGTGCCATTTTATGCTGCCAGACTGTGGTATTATCTCTTAATTGAGTGTTTTTTGCCAACAATGGCCATCCCAAACACTCAATCCTTGAAGACAATTGGGCAGAAGTGCAGTTTGGCCAATTTTGAGTTTTTGTGGCCTTGCCAGTTTGCTCTGATGTCCTGCCAGGCAACCCAAAGGCTCTGCACTACTCATTTTCCTAATCTGAGGTTTAACCTCCTTATCCAAATGCTGGTTTATGGAGAATACGTCCAAGTGACCATGTCACTGTTGTGAGTTGCTTGTAAAGTTTATTTTGTATAAATTAAAACATCAGTTTTTGCTTTATTCAGTTCAAGGGAGCATATACCTGTTATACTGAGTAAAAAAATTAACATTTTTTTTGAGCACACAGGGCCCCTGAGCCCCTTCTATATCATGGAGGATTACGGGGTACTGTTGTGTAACTTTCACCTAATAATTAAAAGTGGTATTCAGGAAAACAACATTCTAACCATGGGAGTGAAAAATGAATACAAGGGAAATAACCTCATATGAACAGGCAGATGATCCAATCAGCCTCTAAAACCAATGAGGTAGAACTGCCCCAACTGTGACAAAGGATCAAATGGACAACACGCACTTTGCTGCAGTACACACTCCCCCTCTGACATCTTAACAAGTGGAGACACACCTGTTCCAGTCTCCTCGGTGCTATCTAAGTCACAATTCCTGGCTGCCTCCAGCCACAGGCACGCCATTCATATAATCTTTGTCTGTCATCCTGGCTCACCATAAAGGAAGGGCACAGGCTTCAGAAGAGGAAAATTGGGGTTTGTATCCAGTTATTCAACTAGCTAGCTGTGGTGTTTGTGTTACGAGACCTCTCTGGACCTCAGTTTCCTCACCTGTAAAGTATGGAGAATAATGCCTCTGTCTGTGAAATAAAGAACACTGCCTCGCACACAATGGCCACACATAATTT